TATTACCCAGATAATATATATGTGCATCCTCTATGTTTTCTTGTTGGATTATTTAAAATAATAGTTTGTTAGAAACTTTTTGCTTTGAAAGATTCAATATATCTATTAACAAAAAAGATAAACAAACCAAGTTCTAAAATATTGGAAAATAACTAATAAACAATTCCGAAGATAATCTTCCACTTCCACATGAAGTAATCAGAAAACTTTATACAGTACCAAACATCATCTGTAAGATAAGCTAAAGAAAAAAAAAAGCTTAGCGAATATTGTGTAAGTAATGGAAAGTAAAACCTAATTTTATCTGTTCTCAAGTATCAAAATCAAGATTAGATAATAATCGTGAAAATCACATTATTTTAGAATTAAATGCTTGAGCATACTTTTTCAGTTTTTCATAATGTTCGCTTACTACCTATAAAAAAAATTTCTTAACAATCAATAGTAAAGTTTCAACGTTAGTTATATTGGCTCCTCATTTATTGATTTTAACAACTTATTATCCATCAAATGGAAAGCCATTTACAGTTTTAGGTCTTCTTTACTGAGATTTAAATTTAAATAAGTGAAAAATAGAAAACCAGTACTTGGTTAAACATTAAAAGATTGTTGTATTTATATTAATATATCGATTATTTGTTTTAAAAGCTTCGAACATAAAAAATAAAGTGGCTTAAGCAATAATAAAATTTTGTGTCTTGATCGAACTTGGTTAAGTGGCAACACTTAAATTTTTCACCGATCACGAATGCAAAGCATATGCACATATGCATCTGGTACTACCTTCATGGCCTGTAATATTTACAACACCCGTTTAACGTTAATTATTGATGCCCCTATCCTGCGTTATATAACGAGAAGCGAAACCAAGCAACGAAACTACACCTTCAAGTCAAATACACTACAGCTCTTTGAAATAAAGTGTTTGAACAATATGCTCCCAGTGCTCGAGAAACTCAATTAAAGAAGGCCTAAAACTTACAAGACTAACAAATGTGTTATATGTAAGAAAAAGAAAGAAAATATAGAACACTTGGTGAGCTGCAAGCAATCTTTAAACTTACTCCGCACTTTAAAGAAGCAAGTAGTAGAAGCAACCCTGCGCGAATTAAAAAATGTAGAGAGCTTGGAGGAAATTAAAGAAAAAGGTTTAATAATACTAGAAAAAGGATCCCAAGTTGATGAAATACACAGAAGAAAAAGATGGATCAGAGGCTTAATCACAAAAGTAGACTTTGAAGAGTTGAGATCTCTTTTTGACTCAAATAACCAAACAAAGCGATTTTTAGGAAGTCTTTGAAAGAATTGGATAAAAGAAGTATATGAGAGAATTTGGGTCCCAAGATGCAAATTAGTACAGGAATGGGAAAAGGAAAATGGAATTGCACCAAAAGATAAAAAAAGATTTCATGAAAAGACAAGAAAGAAGAAAAAAGAAGAAGAAGAAACCACCAGACAGGCATATCATTAAAAGAAAGAAAGATGAAAATGAGAATAAAAGGTGGTTGTCAGTTTTAGAAATAACCAAGAAAGAAGTGGCAAGGTGGATTGTAGAAGGACAACATTCAGATTGGTAGAAAATGGATATATAGTTTTGACAGGCGGTAAGAACTAGCTATTGATGTATTATCGAAGCCAATTGCAGGATAAGGTAATACAGAGGCAATTCTTACTATAGCAGGTCACACATAGGTACTCAATGAGCAACCGGGTGAGTCTTCATTTGTAATTTAGGTACTGGAGAGAATAACTCTCCAGAAAATTTTAATAGTTTAAATAATTATTACAAAGCCTAATAAAGTGAAGGCAAACTGCCGAAATTAAAAAAAAAAAAAAAAAATATATATATATATATATATAATATGCTATGAATCTTTTAAACCTATGAAATAAGGGGATTGGTTAAACAGAGCTAATTCTCAATACTGCATAAATTACATTCTTGATATCTATTTTTAAAAACCATCATAACTGTATTAAAAGAAATAAAATACATTAAACTCCATTTTATTAGCCTCAAAAAATTAAAAAATCAGTAAAATAAATTGACCGAAGCTACTATGAGTTTTCTTGTGCGAAACTTATAATACAGCATATATGAATTCATATTCATGTGACATGCTATGCAACTGAAAAAATTATAAATACAACCTGAATATGATAAAAAACTTTGGGGGCATGCGCATACAGCTCTATATAACGCTATAAGATACGTAATACGTATAAATTTTTTTATAAAAATCCTTTTCTATTAGTTTATAAGGAAATGTGGCGTATCACAAAACCAACGCATCCAACTTTAAACTTATATGGAAATAATCTACGACAAAAGATTAAAGAGGGTCATTTAGTGGTAAAATTGAAATCCATCATAAGGACTTGTTAAATCTTTGTTTTATGTATCAATTTGACTGATAATCTGACTTTTTTTTATGAGCAGATCACTCAGAGATAACAGGACCATCACTTTTTTTCGGCACGACTAGCTCGCTCAAATGGAGGTAACATAGTGGTGGGTGGGAAAAAAATTCGCAATCAAAGGATTGTAACCCAATCAATTATCAATAATAATACAGTACTATGTCTAAATTGCATAAAGTTTTGTATGTTGTTGTTATATTCTGGTTGCATTATGAAGTTCAGAACATTCAAAATCACTTTATCGCAAATTTTTTCTGCCGTCACTACGTTACCTCTCAAATGGTGATTTGTTTAAAATTTCTTACATCTAATTTGTTAATTACATAATCAAAGACTAGAATAATTAACCAGAAACTTTTATTGAGCACATGTAATTCTATAAATAGTTTTTATACCATATTAAAACAAATACAGTCTAAAAAAAAAATATCTCTTACTTTATAAACTTCAATGCATAAATATCAATCAATATACACGGCACAATATAAAATATTTATATACATATAAACAACTTTACAACAAACCTGGCCAAAAATGCAAATCTATAAAAATGAAAAATGAATATATATAATCTGAGGTAATAATATTTGAATAGTTTGTGAATCTTTACTATCAACAGTTTCAAATTATTGTCGACTTTGCTTCTGTATGCATGATTATTCAAAAATAATTACAGTACCCATTTATGGCATCCACTTATTTGCACCGGTAATACAAATCTCTAAAAAGGAAATGGCTAATCGGAGAAAGTAAAATGTGATGATCCTGGATCAGCGCAACACGTGAGCAAAGCAAAGAAAAACACCGAAAAGGAGAAAATAATCAAAACTAGTGTTTAAATCGACCTTTTTGGACTAATAAAAAATAACGGGAATGAAATTTTACATATAAAAAACTCAAATTATCACTAAAAGCTCACAACCCTAACACCAACCCTAATGCTAACCCTAACATCCTAATCCTAAACTTTCTTAGTTTATTTACAAATGCAATTTCCTTTTTTGGTTTGTATTACTGGGGCAAATAAGTAAATTGCCATTTATGTATTATATATTATTAATTAAATTTAAATTTCTGTATAACCATCTTTTAGTGTAAATGTAAGATATAGAAGAAAGTGTTACACATGCTCTGTGAAAGGTACGTGTGAAATCTTTATATGCATTCACATCTTTGCTTCACTATATTCATTTGTCCAACAAGGAGCAAGATTTTGTGGACGTACGTACGTACATACATACATATGTACGTACATGCGCAATTTAATTTGCAACATACACTCAGGGTTTAAAATTTGCTTGCACAAGATGCACACATGCAAGTGTTTGTTTTTGGATTTTTTTGGATTTTTAAAATATTTCCTAAGTATGCAAGCAAAACGTTTAAAAAAGTTGCACAAAATACATTTGTGCAAGTAAATTCTTTTGAATTTTAAACACTGCATACACTATGTAAAATTTTCAATATCACTCTATTCCTGGTATAACTATTATCATAAACTTTGTACTCACCCTGGTAATTTATTTGAGATTACAGTTAATTGTACATTCTTTCGTTAAAATAAAATAATCAAAAATTATTTATTGAACAATTATAGGTTTATTATTAAAATATGATTTTTACTAATTAATCATTCAAACACACAAATATCACAATAATTACAATTTTTTAAAATAAGAATTGTTAGGCTGATCAAAAATTTCCCCACAATTTGTTCACATTTTTGGATGCTGCTAATCAAAAATAGTTAAGTACAAATCCATAATTCAAAGTAGTCATAATAGTCATCAGTAAGCCTAAGCATATTTGAGTTTCATAATTTTTTGTAACTTTGTCGTCACTACCGTATGTAAAAATAACTTTTCTTATACTCTGGTCACATTTTCTGAAGATTACTAATCAAAAATGTTTAAACGAACGAACCCGGATTAGATTAGATTAGATTAGTTAGATTGTACAAAACAATGATATAACACTGGCCAAAAATTTCTCACGGTTTCGGATGCTTTAATTCTGTCGTCATTACTAATACACCGATATGTAAAAATAAGTTTCTGAATGTCAAAAATCTTTAAACGTATGAACTTTGTAGTGATTACATCATAATGACATATGTGCACGTGTCCTGAGTTATCCAATCATTTTACAAATAAAAAACCAATCAGGATGCAGGATTGAAAACCGATTTCTTTATTGTATTATAGTATATTCTAATAATAACTAATAACTAAAAAATACTTAAGAAAATATAGTAATTTATGTATCGGTCCTTTTTTTAACATCTATACAACATACCGTTATATTTATTATACAGTATTGCATTATAGGGTGTTAAAAAACACAATAGAAATTTTATATTGTATAACCGTGGAAACATAATTAAACATAATAAAGTTACTATTGAACCTCCCAAAAATGATATGTGCAGTAAACCAGTATTAAGAGGTTATCGATTTTGAGATCAATTTTGGATGGATCAACAGTATTGGCTTTCTTTATTCGCTTTAATATGCAGTAATATCCGATATAACTTAAAGGAAAAAGTTTTTATTTTACTTTAAGATTTTGAATAACAGTAATTAGTTCGTAGCTGCTATGATAACTACAGTATCTTGTGCTTTTTTTCCTTTTTGTTCATTTTTATTCATTATAATAAGAATGCACTTTACATGATCCTCGATTTTTTTGATTTTAGACTGAATATAACTACTAATTATTATATAATCTTGTGTAAATATAATATAATAATGTATAATAAATAAAATATTTTTTAACTTTTGTAAATAAAATTATTGCTAATAAAAACCTTTCTAGGGCGAGTTGGAAGTATACAGTTTTTAAACATTCATTTTATTTACTGGATAGGATTTTACCTTTTGTATTACTGGTAGTCTAGTTAAGAATAGATTAAAAACCTAAAAAATTATATATTATAAAAATTTGTTTGATTTCTGTCGATCTTATGACTAGAGAAATGGTTTAACAAAGAACTCCAAAAGCTCAGTGAGGTCAAAATTTCCCTTGATCATTTTTTATCTGTGTATTAAAAGTAAAGCCAATTAAATCAGTCATAGTACATTAGTAAAGCTCAAATTAGCTGATTTGATTAAGTTGATCGGCGAAAATATTGATTAACCAGAAGAATTATAAATTTGATAGTAATTTTTCATAATGAACATAAAATAGTTAAAAGAGCATCAACTTAAGAATTCCAAAATTTATAAGTGGTATTACGAAGAACAAATTTAATTGATTATAGTTAATCAACTAGTCGACATATTCGTACTGGATGTTACTTGATTGTCGAAATTCGATTTTTAAAATTAAGAAGAGACTAGCAGGTTCTTTTTTTTTAAAAAAAAATAGGCTGGCTAAGCCTAAAATTTGTCTTAACCAATTGGGAGTGAGTCAATAGAAATACACCAAATCTTTTTTTATGAATTTTTTTTAAATTTTAAACAAATATAACTTAACAAAAACTTGATCAAATCTAGTAAAATTTTTTTAAATTATTTTCTATAAGTTATTAAAATTATTTTAAAAAATTTTTATTAAATTTGATTAAGTTATTGTTAAGTTATTTTTGTTAAAATTTTAAAAAAATTTACTTAGAAAAAATTTGGTGCATTTCTATTGATTCACCCCCAATTTTTTAATAATTGCCAAATTCAATAATTACATTAATTTTTAAAAGCACAGATTTACTGTAGAAGATAAAAAACTTATGCCTATTTTTTTTTTATTACAAGAATCTTCAACAAAATAATATTTCGTATTCTAAATACATTAGTTTCTATTAAGCATATCGATAAAAAATAGAATCTTTAACAACTATAATATAAATATTCTAAATACATAAATTCCTATTAGACATATTGATAAAAAAAAAGCTTTGACATCCCTATGAAAACTCGATACACAGAAATGCACGCATAAATACAAAATTGTATTTGGGTAGACATGGGTTTCATGATCACTGCACGGAACCTGCATGAAAACTGATCATCCAAAAAATTTAATACACGTTATTACACAAAAAATTAAAATTCGTGCACTACATATATTGATGTGTATTGATCTTATGACCATATAATTTCTGTGCACTAATGTCTACAATCATTAAGATTCTTAATAATTGTGCTCGTTAGTGCATGGAAGTCAAGAATCTTAACAATTGTGCATATTAACAATTGTGATAATCGTGATGTCAGTGCACTGAAATTATATTTGTTAATGTTATTAGTAATCATAATTTTAGTGCAACATGATAATCACTAAGATTCTTAACAATCTTCATTCTGTGAGTAAATAAATATTTATTTTTTGTTGTTTTTTTTTGTTTATTTTCAATCTGAGCAAATAAATATTCACTTCTTTATTTTTTTTTGTTTTTTATGCTTATAATTTTTATTATTTTCTTTTAATTTTTTTTCTACAACTCACAAATTTTATATTGTTTTTAAAGTTATCCTTTAGAGTTATTCACTTGGAAATTGCTCTTTTGGAATCACTATTCTATTTGATTTATGTTTTTCATGGCTTTGTTTTTTTCTTTATATATTATTGCATTTTGCTTCTATCTTTTAGTATCTCTTTAAGTTACTGCCATTGAAGTTGTTACAATTAGAGTTAGCACTATTGAAGTTATTACTAAGTAGTCTTTTTTTTTGAACCTTTTATTTTGATACTATTGTTTTATATTGTTTTTTATTTATTTATTAATAGTTTTAGTAATTAAAATATTTTCTTTATTCAGATTGTAAATTAGTAAATTAAAGTATTTGTATTATAAAATTTATTTAATAAAATAATAAAATTTAGTTAATAAATTATAAAATTTAGTTAATAAAAATTATAAAATTTAGTTAATAAAATTTAAAAATCAGTTAATAATTTAAATGTATATATAGGTATATGTTATTATTAGTGTTAGCTTGACCAGACCAGTTTGCCCATTGGACCAAACCAATTTGACCAATTTGACCAGTTTGGTCAAAGGATCTGTACTGGTCAAATTGGTCAAATAGTATATTTAAATATAATTTATTATATAATATATATTTATATTTATATAATTGATTTGACCAATTTGACCAGACCAATTCAACCAGTAAATTTTTAGTTGACCACTAACACTTGTTATTATATATATATATATAGATATATGTTTTTGTGCTATCTGCACATAAATATGCACAAAACAATGCATGAGAAAACACATAAAATTGATATTAGCACATATACTGTTGCACAAAATCTGTACATAATTACATGTTGTAAACGTGCTTTTCCATACATTGTCTCATATAGATTTACATGCAGGTTCATATAGTTTCATATCCAACCTTTTTCATGTAGTGCAATATCATTCCATGCTACAACTTCTAATAAAGTATGACAGATGGTAAATGAATTATTAAAGCTCAACCCGAATAATGTTATATTATTAAATGATCAGAAAGTAGATTATATCATATAGGCAAATACAAAGAATTACTTGCTAATTTGAATAAATCAATGAAATTTCAACAAAATAATGCAGAAGCATTAAGTAACAGAGAGTCTACCTATTTTAATATTGGTAGATATAAAGAATCTCTTGATAATATAAATAAATTATTAGAAATAGAACTAACAATGCTACTATATTAAGGACTCAGTGAGAAGCATATCTAATCTTAGACAGATATAAAGTATCTCTTGTAGATTTAAATAATTCTTTAGAAATTGAGCCAAATAATAAAATTGCACTTAATATTAGAAGTTTAATCTATAAATGATGAGTAAATATGATAAAACATTTGTAAATCTAAATAAATTATTAAATATTAATTTAAATAATGCTATGAAATTAGACATCAAAAACAGAATAAATATATAAAATCACTTGCAGACTTAAATAAGTCATTTGAAATCGATCTAAATGATCCAGATGTGTTATTTAATCGAGGACCAACTTATTGAAAGTAGAAGATTTGCTTGATGATTTAAATAAATCTTTAGCAATTAATCCATATAATGCCAGTACATTAAATAACTTACCAAAGTATAGGCAAACACAAAAAATCATTTCTGATATAAATAATGTATTAGAAATCAGTCTTATACGAATAAGGGCAAATACATAGGGTCACTTATAGACCTAAATAAATCATTAAAAATCTACTAAAATTTGTAAATATAGTTAACCCCTATAAATGCAACCCCCAAAGTGCATGTCTTATGAAAAGCCTCTCTAAATGCATGTCTTCTCTTGGGCCCAACTAATATTACACCTATAGATTTTTACCTTTCTAAATGCAATACCTCTTTAAGTGCATATTTGACTAAATTTTTACATATAGTCCTGTTGCATTGCATTTAGAGAGGTCTAACTATACATTAAATTACCATGGAGTTATTTATAAAAATATGAGCAGTTATAAAAAAATTACTTGCTGATCTGAATAAATCATTAGAAATCAAACCTTATATATCAATCAATAAATCTGATTTAAATAAATTAAATATTTGTAGGCAAGTTTATTATATTATAAGCAATTATGATAAATCACTTGAGAATTTTAATAAATCATTAGTTAATGCATATGAAAGAATAAAAATTAGCAATAATGAAATTGATTCAAGTGATAATGAAATTCTTAGAGATTATATCTATATATTAATGGGCATTTATAAGAAAGCACTTGCAAGTTCTAATAATTCATAAGTATTTGGTTTTCATTTAGATAATAAATTCACCAATTTAATAAATAATTATAAAGAATCACTCACAATATTATAATAAATAAATTACTAGAAATCTGACCAAATAATGCAAATGCATTAAATGCTCACAGATTAACTTATCAAATAATGAATAGATATGAGGAATTGCTTGCTGAAGTAAATAAATTGTTGAAGATCAGAAAAAGCAATGCTATAACATTGGTCAATCATGGATTAATTTATCAAAAATGGGCCTATTAATAATCACTTAAAGATTTAAATAAATTATTAGAAATTATACCAAATAAGTGGAATACATTTTCAATCGAACGTTAATCTATAAAATGGTAGGTAGCTATAAAAATTTATTTGCAGACACGAATACACTATTAAAAATTAGACACTGCAAGGATTCAGTTGATTTGGTTTTAAATTTTTGTAGTATAATTAATTTAGAGATAAACAAATTTAACAAATTACTTAAATGTTATAATAAATTATCCAGATGATGCAGAGATACTTAAATATTGTGGTTTATGTTATTTATAGACTGACAAATACTCTTATATTTTAATTAGATTGTTAGAAATCAAACTAAACAATGCATTTACATTAGCTTTGTATGAAATAATCTATTAATATATAAACAACTTTGAAGATTTACTAAAAGATTTAAATAAGTCACTAAAAATTAAATTAAATAATGTTTTTGCACTATTTAATCATGGATTAACTTATAAAATAATGGGTAGATATGAAGAATCACTTGAAGATTTAGATAATACATTAAAAATCAAACCAAATGATATTAAATCAATGTGAAATGATTTATCAAGAAATGGGCAAATATAACAATTCACTTACGATCCAAATAAATTATTAGAAATTAGATTAAATAATTATAAATCATTAATCAACTGTGGGGTAACATATACACAGATGGGTAAATATAAAAATTTCTTGAATATCTAAATAAATCATTAAAAATAGAATAGATCCATAATTAAAAAGTATTAAATAATCATGGACTTTAATAATTTTTGATAAAACTATTTCTTAATAACGAAATAGTTTTGTCAACATACTTGTTTGACAAAATCTTAGTGATTTGATGAAACCTATGATAATTGATAAAAC